GTAAGGTGGAAAATATGTCTGTTTGTTTAAGTGCATCAAGCGGAGTGCAAACGGTAAAAGGTCTTGACGCAGGTGTGACACGATCTCTATTATGGATTAAAAGTGTAAGTGAGTGTAAACAGTGAGAGATGCTGAGACAGGTGAAAAGCGTTTGGTTAATAGTGAATATTGACCTATTGTGCGTAACGTTGTGGCTCCCGCTGTTAGCATGGGATAATCGCTACATTTGGGGTAAAAAAGACAGAATTATTTATTGTCCCAAGAAGGTTGCACTGTCTGTTTGTTCACACAGGTATGAAACTGATTGGTAACTGACTTTAGTGGAGCCGATTACCTCCATTGATCAGAGCATTCGGCACGGTCGTCTGTGAGTGACGTGTTTAAATATATGTATATATAAATATATGTATGTGCTAATGAACTGGTGGTTGTGTGTACCCTTCTACTAGTTTCTTTGCAGTGTTTCCCGGGACCTGTGTGTTTCTGTCCCCTTTTCTAGGGTAGGTCCTCGGTGGGCACCCCTGCTGCTGGGTTCAGAAACCGGGTGCTCGACTTGCAGTGTTTATTTCACTCGTCGAGATATGACCAGAAGGTAAGTAAGGTTTCGGCTTCATACTTCCTGGATCATACGGCCATAACACAGGCTTCTGTGGGAGTTTTTGTGATTATCAGGCCCCCGGCGTCACTGCAAAAATTTCCTGGACATCCGGGCTGGGGTTACGCTTCATGCTACCCAAGGAAAGTCCCTCTCTAAACTCATCGGCCAGGTCCCCCTGAGATCCCCACGAGCTCATTCTCCTCCGTGCCTCAGCAGCGGCGGGTCCTGAACTGCGGGGAGCAGATGGCTGCCCCTCTTTACTTGAAAAGAGAGACCAACGAGAACGGAGTTTTTTCATTGGAGAAAACTCGCAATGCACGCAGATTGCCCCCTCGAGGACATCGCGTGCGTGCTCCTCGCCCAAACAAACAACACATAGATCGTGTGTGTCATCTGGTGTCAAATAGCGCTGACACGGATGCACACACCTTCTAAATGCTCTACTAGTGCTCGCCATAATATTAATAGATAGCTCTTACTTTTTCCTTGAAAATGCACGCTTCAAACAGAACAGTCAATGAAGATGAAGAAGAGAATGATGTGTAGCTCCCGGCGCCGATTTATACTGTAGTCGCACCGGTAGTGACGTCATGGCTGTCGCCGGCCAACGAGTTGGTGTTTTTTGAATGTATGCTTCAGACACGGGTCACGACGAGGCGTTCCCCATAGCGACCCCTAGAGGACGCAGTGTCTCGTTCCCTACTCAGGGAACCATGGTTACATAAGTAACCCGAGACGATTTCCATGTAGACATCGGAAATTTAAATGCAAAAGGAATTGTGATTCCATTTGAGTTTTGGCAGGTTACATGCGCGATGCAGCGAGAGTGAAAAAGCAGACGTGGTAATTAATATTGCTATTTAAATATGACAGGCTCGTAACTCCTAAGACATGGGAAATACAGTTGCAAATGGACTTTGGTTATGCAGGATTTGCAATTGCATTTGGATTATGTCACAATTTATGCGTCCACATATTGAAAACGCAATTGAAAATACAATTTGCTATTCCATTTGAAAATTGTCCAGAAAATCGTTCCATACACACCCAACTGGACCTGATTAAACGTAATTCTATTATACAGAGATAAGTCAATTTCCCTGACTTTTCCAGGTTTTTCATAACCGTACGATCCCTGCATAACGACCACAAATTTCTGCCCATAGGGCATTGTGTAACATGGGAAATCACAGCAAGATATCAAAATCCAGTGCTGAGAACCACCATTTCAGAAATCATTACAGCTGCTAAAAAGGGATGTAGAGCTAAACAGTATTAGTACATGAAAGCCAAGCACGGAAAGCAGATATGTGTTTGTGAAGTGTTTGATCTAGCCCACAACGAGGATGCACAGTAGGGGACAGGGATCTGTCGACCCCTCACAACTTTTCCAGTCGAGAAAATTTTCTTCCACCCTCTCTCTCCGACTCTTTCCAAACACCCTTAGGAACACTGAAAGAATACTAATGAGCGTTCATATCCTAAAATAAATAAGACAAACTATGGGAAAGCAATGAAAGAGTGAGTGGGGCCATTTGGCAGTCTCCAACCAGCCATCCATCCAACTGCATGTTCTGCGCACAGGCCTTTGCTTTCTTTGGTTGTGCTTTCTCCAGGCCTAGCGCAGTGGGTGACAAAACAAAAACAAGAATACAGGACAAGTATAAGGGATTACTAACTGTATGAGTATCTGGCCTGCGGGACATGAGGCATGACTACCAGGAATATGGTGAGCTTCTGAAGAAATGCTGACTTAAAGCAATGAATCAACAAAGAGATCATAAGTTCTGCTCTACAGTGTCAGTAACACTCCTAAATAAAAATAAAGCTTTGTGAGCGAAACTAAAAGGAAAGGGCAAGAGGAAAAAGGAACCGAAGTTTTCAAAAGTAGTTCACACAGAAATGAAGAGTCTGTCATTATTTTCTCAATAAATATTTTAAATCTCAAGTGGATGCAAATGAGATTTCAGGGCAATGGCGATGACATGAGAGTGAGAAAATAACAGAATAAAAATTTTTAGGTGAACTATTTATTTAAAGGATGTACTATGTGTGTCATGGAGTCAATCAGTATTACATATGTGTATACTAATGATTATATCTTATATACTTATAAATGGAAACAATGTTAAACAAGGAAAAATGTCAAATGTTTTACATTGTTTTAAAACTTTTAAAAGGTTTTGACTAGCTAAAAAAGGAAAATCTAATTACTTTTTTATTAATGAAAAAATGTAAAAATATATATTCACTATATATAAATATATAAAATACTATTTAAATGTTAATACTTTTAAGGTGAATACTTTTATGCAGCAATGACATTAAAACAGCACAACTGTTTTCGACATTGATAAATGCTCCTTTAGCAGGAAATAAATTACAATGATTTTTGTATACTGAAGACTCTGAAGACTGGAGTAATGGCTGCTGAAAATTCAGCACAGGAATAAATTACATTTTAAACTGTAATATTTTATAATTGTACTTTTTGCTGCTTTTAATTACATAAATGCAACCTTGGCATTCTTTCAAAAACATAAAAAAAAATGTATAGACTACCCCCACATTTTTTATGGAAATTTACTTAAAAAAAAAAAAAAAATTAATTTCCTTTACTTTTTCAGTTTTATAATGTCTTACTATCCTTGCTAGGCTTTTCATGTCTATGTGAACCCTGTTTTTTAAAAACCCTTCAGTTTGCTTACCTGCTAGACATCCATTTCATGCGATTACTGTAAACATGTTTCCTGTTCATTTAATACACACTGATGGTTTGTGAAAAACTGCATAACCCAAACAAACCTGTGGTAATCGATAGCATGCCACAGTAGAGCTTGAAAGTACCTGGAATATTCGTATAAGAATCTGACCTTCAGCACTAAAGCAAACCCAGATACGTGACCACTGACTGATGGGATTCTCATCTCTGGCATGGTTTCACTGCCATTTTCAGCCTCCACAGACTCCATCTTTAAAATAAACAGGAGCAAACAAGTGGCCATAACCATAAATAATCCATAATCTGACAGCATATTTCTCTGCGAGCTGTCAGAGGCGGTTTACACACAACATCGGGTGGTGATGGACGCCTGTTATTCCTCTTTAACTCGTGGGCAGCAGAGTGCAACCCCAGCAGGGGAGGTGAGAATCTACAGTAACAGTCGCGCTGCCAAATTGTCCCACTACAGCAATATTGATTACGCTGCAGTGTAACCATGAAGAGGACACTTGTGAAAGAGCAAGATGAAAAGCATAGAGGATACAGGCCTGGATTTCCAGCCACAGTCGTTCCAGCGACCGAGTCAAACTGACAATTGCTCGAGCTCATGTATATTAAAAAGCAAAGCGGTTAGAGGCACCCTGGTGGCCCGGTGGTTTAGTTCCAATTATTGATGTCACCACTTCAAATGTCATGACAAATTAGCTCCTAGCATCCCTCAGGCTCACATCGAATGAAACCGCAAACCCACTTAAGTTGTAGCTCAGGGTTAGGTACCAGCGGGTCACCGGATAATCCAGGGAAAATGTTCTGACTAAAAAAGATTACCTGGGTTGACCTCATATGTCACATGCATGGCTTTAATTTCACCTATTTAAACCACGCTGTTGCAAGGATCTACAAGAGTACGAGTGATTCGCAACGGCCTGTGAATGATTGCATCACACCAGCGTTTTGTGCTGCTACTGCTGAATCTACAGCCCCGCGGCTAAACAAGCTCATATTTAGCTGAATTGTGAGCGAGAATTTCAATCTTACATTTTTTTTTCAATACTCTTTTTTGAACTTAAAACTGTGCATCCTAACATACAAGAAATGCTAACACTGAACTGTGCAAATCTGTGATAATTATAATTTTATATAATGCTACCTGCATAAACATATTTGTGCCACTGTTGCCAGATGGTCTTCTCATTAATGTTTTTAACATTAATATTTTATACATACAAAGAGTGCAAACAGCGCAACTTTGCAATTAGTTATCTGGCTGACATCTGACTAAATTAATATCACTGGCATCTGTTACTTTGTTAGACTGTTAATGTATTTTTTAAGTTTTATGAAATATAACTGGCTGCACATACTGTAAGAATATGTATTTAAATAAACATTTTCAATAGAGTATTTTGTTGTACTACATACAAAGCATACAAAATAGGGGTGCAAGTATTTTAGCACCTAGTGATTTGATTCTATTTTGATTCAAAAAGTCACAATCTGATTCCCAAACAATTCTCAATGCATCTTAATTTTTCAGCAACACTGTGAGGGTGCAAATCTTTGGTGAGTTAAGTTAATTATGTGTAAAGATTCTCCATAAAAGCTGTACTAAAATGACTAATTGTTGTTTCCTGTTAAAGGTTTACTAAAGTCTGCAGAACTGAAGAAAATGAAGTGTACCTGAAGTCATAGGAGACGCTGGTGGTGGCAGAACCAGAAGTACTGGCTGCATCGGTGGAGTCCTGGTCCATACTGAATGTCTGTCCTGAACTGGTGCTAAGAATGAATAGAAATGAATCAAGAGAGACAGAGATGAAGAAAGAAACACATACAAATGAGTTCCATGACTCGAACCATCAAAACACTTACAGTCAACATGAAACACAGCAAGCAACCCATTTTACTTCCATATTGAGACATACAGTATTTTAGAGCAAAAACAGAATATTAAATGAGGAAAAAAGATGGAGCTTGAGCTTTATCTATCAGAAACTGATTGAAACAACTGTTGTTATTGTTCACTAAAATTAAAACTATTCAAAATAGTTTTTATTAATTAAAAAAAAAAAAAAAAACACGATGAAGCTGATCAAATTAAATATAAATTAGATAAAAGTTAAATTACAAGAAATTTAAAAATGTTGCCCTGGCACATAACTGATATATAATAATTTTAAGATGAAGTATTAAAATGACAAAAAAATATATAGTTGAAATTAAAATAAGTTAAAGCTAAATAGAAATATTTTAAAAAATCTAGTAAAAAATGACAAAAACACAGAAAATACTAAAACTAAATTACAACTGAAAATATAAAAATAAAAGCTAATTCAAAATAATAATAAATACTATATATAAATATTATAAATACTGACCCTGGACCACAAAACCAGTCTTAAGTGTCAATTTTTCAAAATTAAGATTTATACATCATCTGAAAGCTGAATAAATAAGCTTTCCATTGATGTATGGTTTGTTAAGATAGGAATATAGGAATATTTGGCCGAGATACAACTATTTGAAAATCTGGAATCTGAGGGTGCAAAAAAAATCTAAATACTGAGAAAATTGCCTTTAAAGTTGTCCAAATGAAGTTCTTAGCCATGCATATTACTAATCAAAAATTAAGTTTTGATATATTTACGGTAGGAAATTTACATACATTTTTTACTTAATATCCTAATGATTTTTGGCATAAAAGAAAAATATTTTATTTAAAAGAAAATATTCATAATTTTGAACCATACAATGTACTTTTAGCTATTGCTACAAATATACCCCAGCGACTTAAGGGTCACATATATATATATAAAGTATATATAATTCTAAAATAACACTGATTGAAACGTCTTTTTTAAATCAACCTAACCTAAGAACCTAAGAAAAAGAAAGTTGTTTCAATTTGACTTCATGTTACTAAACTTATCTTTCTCAATAAGTTTAACCTCAGCCATACTCAAGAGGCCAAAACAAAGGGCTACTGAAGAATACAGTTGATCCGACCTGCTGCTTGCTATTCAACACAATATACAGCGCTGGGATTGTGACTATAACAGAGTTTATCACGACTCGCATTCAAAGGATGGCACTCATTAACTACAGTTCACGGCTTTGTGATGAAACCCAACGTGCCCTTTTTATTATTGGCCGAAACCAACTCCAGATTTCTCTTTTATACTCTGCAACAATCCCTCTCAGACAGAAAAGCTTTGTCTGCCCCAACAGTGTTTCCAATTCTCTCATTATTCAGGCCTGTTTGAGAGATGATAACCTTTGCAGAAAAGTATAATTAAATCGCTTCACCCACCGTGTTGATAAAAAAATATATATTTTCTGTGGGGTTGTGATCAGGGAAACAGTGAGAGACCTTTCCGCTATTTCAAAGAGAAATGGATGCAAATGAGCATGATTGTTCGAAAGCCAATAAATAGATGCTTAAGCATTCAAATCAAAGGTAATGAGAAAAGGTTAAGCGTGCCGTCTGTTGCCGTGAGAGAGACTGATGAAGGTAGACTGAATTTGATTAAGACCTCATTATGTACATTGATGAAAAGGCGACAATTAATTTCTGGCAGTTTTAGCACAGGTGAGGCGACTTTATCAAAAAAATGAAAGGGCAGACGTATCAAATGAGCCATCAAACACGAAGAATGCGGATATCTGTATTATGCATTTAACTGTTACGATGTGCCTCGGGGTCCCAATGGATTATGAAGTCACTAAGAGGACAAGGGTGAATAATGAGCTAGTACCACAACATACATTGATTATGCAATATGGTGGCTTTTCCGAACTAAATTTAAAATGCAAAACACTTGAAAAACATGGATGACAAGACTGATGAACTCACATCTAACTATCTTACTGTGATGGTTTCATTCGCATTAAAGATGGGTGGTATGACAAATGGGATTACTCAGTGCAAAATTTCTTGACATTACACAAGAGCTCAAAACAATAAAACGAAAATATATAATTAAATAATATAAATACAGCATTTTCCAGTTAAACGCCTAGACTCTGGCTACCCGTCATGGTCTAATCTGTCCCTCCACTGTTTCATAATGAACCGAAAATATTTTTCACTTCTCATAATAACATAAAAGGTCTCTAATGTTGTGTTTTGAGCTATTGCTTTTGGCAAAGCATCTGTCAAACAAACTAAAATTGAAAGCGCAAAAGTGGTTAAGTGCTCTTATCAAATCTCAAAAGGCGGTGATTTAAATAAATATATAGTCTGTAGTACTCCATATTAGTTTGTGATCCAGTGTTTTTCCCTGTATCAGTTCACAGTGAAAGCAGCGAACTCAATCTCTGCATGTGCTGAGTTTAACATGCATTTGGGTACGCAACGGGCACCAGTTATGCATTATTTTTCACTTCATACTTCACATTTGCATAATATTAATTTTACATTCATAATGAGATGTGTTTGTAAACCTTTTGGTCACAGAAACTAAAAATTACCAGAGCTTTACCAAAATTGAAGCTTGAGGGTTTAACCCTTGCAAGTAGAAAGAAGTAGAAGAAATTAAGAAAAAAGTATTGTAATTTTTTCCTACTGTAGAGTATTATGAATTAAAGACCTTTTTCATTTACATTAATTTTACAGTGCAGATGTATTAAAATAGTAATATTATTTGCCTTATTAATAGTATTTTGTGAATGTAATGTAGACTGAGACACTATATCACAACTAAAAAGAGGTTTGCGTTAACTATAAAGTTCAGGTACAAGTCAACGCAAAGACATTACACTCTGTTCATTTTGGACACTGAACATGGGTTGGAGCGCTTAATCTCTTTAATCGCTTTAAACTCTTAAAGTGCACCAGACTAATGAATTTAACTTTAAAATGCCCAATCCCCCCCCCCCCCAGATGTCTCACAAAATCCTGTGGGAAACACTGTAAATACATAATATAAATATTTGATACATATAAATAGTCTGTGACTACATATCTGTTGAATTCTATATTAATATGCTATTTATTTCTAGATTCATTTCATACCAGTACCAAGTCCTAATTCATCCGCTAAAGATAAAGCTAAAATAAAATAGTGAAAATTCATCTTTGTACTTGTATGATTTTGTTGCAAATAACACCTTTTGTGTCGAGTCAATAAAGTTAAATTCACCTCTTCAAACTCTGCAGCTCGTCCAGCGTGAAGTCGAATATGTTGGCCATGTGATGATTGGTGCTCCAGGTAGAGGTGAGGTCATTCTGCGATGATGGCACAAACAAAGCATGAAATACAATGTTAAAGTCATTATACTGCATCGTCTGATTGTCATTCGGATGATGACGATAATCACAGCTTTGATTGTGACGATCAGAGCCGTCATGGTTGTTACAGTCACTCTAATGCCGCCTTTGAAGTTGCTCATGGCATTAGCCGTGCTGCCTGGAGTGTCAAGGATGTGTAGTTCAAGTAAAGCATGTTTGGGGACTGGAGACCTCTCAGAAGGATTTGACAGTTAAATGGTTCAGAGGATGAATGTAATCCATTTTAGAAAATGTAGAAAGACAGAATGAGAGGGTAAGAGAGAGTTGGGGAGTAACAAACTAAAAGTAGAGACGTAACCCAACTAGATCTTGTCAGAAGCGTGACTACTTTTTGTTAGTAGCTTGTAGTGCAGCTGACTTCTTGTGCTAAAGGCTAGCTTGACTGAAGTTCAGCTGCTTGAAATCATGAGTAGCTTGTAGCTTGGCTTTCAAAGTAGCTTCACCAACAGTGTGAGAAAAAAGGTGAGGGGGAGAGAGAGAGAGCGAAGGCGAGAATGAGACAAAACAACACACGAGAAGCGAGGGAGAAATGCAAGGTCTGCATGGCAGCAGGCGTCAAGAAATAAAAAGAAGATCACCACGGGGTGCAAAGAGATGCTAGAGAGAGATGAAGCGAGGCAGGAGAAGATATCGAAGAGTAAACTTCACACAGGTCATATTTAAATCGGCTTTAAGTCCGTACATAAGGAACCGTGTGGAAAAATGGTTGAAATCAACAACGAAAGAAACAAATAGCAATTCACTCTGCTGCATGAAAGCAAACCATTGAGGGATTCAAGAAACTTCAAGAAGTGCTAGAACACAAAATCTCTGTAAGGACAACTCATATTTGCACTGACAGGTCAAACATAGTCTCAAGTAGTCCAACACTTCACCTCTTCATGAATCTGATTTCAAGAGGACTGCACAAACTGAATTATTTAGTTTGTGTGCGCGCATGTGTGCGGTTTAGTGATAGATCAATATATATCAGGTTTCAGAACCTGGGGATCGTGAGTGAACTGCAGGGGGTTTGTGAGTTGATAAAACCCTAATAATTCATTAAATCCTAAAAAATTTTAATTACAATAAATAATTTTTAAATTAAAACAAAAATAAAACACTTACTATAAAAGTTATTTTATTCGTTTACCCGCATGTCAGGCGACCATTAACCAACATCAGAGAACCATGAACACGCGAATGTGTTGTTAAATTATTGAAATAAAAAATCTAATCTTAAAATCTAAGGAGGTACTTCAAGTAAATATTTTAGGTCAAATGGGTTCGGCTGACAAAAAGTGTGAGAACCACCCTGAACTAGGCCGATTAAACATCTGATACATAACCATTTTAAGAGTACTAACATTCTCTGGTAACTGTACCCAACTGGCCAATTAACCAATCTGAAAGCCTTGTGAAAGGATAGCAAATACTAGCAAAATTAGGCTTCGTTAAATAAAGCAGCTTTGAGCAGGTCTTATTTGCTGTTATTAAAATGTATAACATATCATATACCATTTAAAACTCTGTAAGATCTTTAATGTTTTTCAGAAAGAAGTCTCTAATGCTCAACAAGTCTGCACTTATTTGATCAAAATACAGTAAAAACAGTAATACTGTGAATTTATTTGTGAAAATTTTAATTTATTCCTGTGATGGCAAAGCTGATTTTTTTTTTGTAGCCATTACTTCAGTGTCACATGATCATTCAGAAATTCTGATGCTGATTTGCTGCTCAAGTTTTTATTATCATCAATGTTGAAAACAGTATATATAATATACTTAATATTTTTGTGAAAACTGTGATACATATTTCAGGATTCTTTGATGAAGAACAACATTTATTTGAAATATAAACTCTATAATATTATCTTTACTGTCACTTTTGATCAATTTAAGACATCTTTTCCAAAAAAAAAAGAAAAAAAAAAATATATATATATATATATACACGGAAAGTATTCAGACCCCCTTAAATTTTTCACTCTTTGTTATATTGCAGCCATTTGCTAAAATCATTTAAGTTAATTTTTTTTTCCTCATTAATGTACACACAGCACCCCATATTGACAGAAAATCACAGAATTGTTGACATTTTTGCAGATTTATTAAAAAAGAAAAACTGAAATATCACATGGTCCTAAGTATTCAGACCCTTTGCTCAGTATTTAGTAGAA